ATGTGACACCGAAATCGTCTATGGGAGGTAGAGTCGGGCAACCTGCTTGGCTATCAGGCGTAGACGTTCCAAGGTGGGTATTAAAACTGGGAAGTTTTCTACAAGCACCTACTCAGCCGAGTGCAAGACCTGGGGAATTGGCACCGAGTCCTTTCCCAGGAAGCAGTCCAATGCCAAGCCCGCCGCCGGTGGGGTCGTCCTTCCGGTTGAGATCTCCAGCTCGCACACGAGCGATTCCACCTGCTCCGTCCCCGCCAACTTCGTCGTCGATACCGGCTGAGGCTATACAAGCGGAGGTTCAGCGACAGGTACAGGGAGTTTTGGGACAGTTAAGGGAGTATGGTGAAGCAAATCAGCGCTTGAGTGCAGAGTTGTTGGAAGTTAGGGCTCGGCTGAGGACAGAGCAAGAGAGGAATGGTAACATGCAAGAGCTACTTCCTCCACCTCGGGGACTATTAGGTGATCTTACAAGAGCACAGCTGGATCCGGGAAATCTTCAAGGCTACCCAGTACCGAGTGAGAATCCTGGCCCACTACCTGACGGTGCAGAGCAGACAATACAGGAGGGTCTACATGAACCTGCTACACTACCACCTCTTTATCTTCGTCGTAGTGATGGGGATGATCGAGATTATCAAGGTTTACGTGGGGTTCATGGTCTTCCTGGAGAGCAACCTGTACCACCTAAGGCTTCTCAGCAAGATGACAGTAAGTCTACAGGGGAGGTGTCGGGTCTACTACGGAGGATGTGGGATGCAAGGCCGAGAAGTACAACACCCCCACAAAGAACCGAGCAAAAGGATCCGGATGGGTCTCCAGTTCTAGAGGTCTTAGCAAGAGGTGTTCAACAGCTACAAGAACTACAAGCTCAGGCGCTTAGCAAGGCTTCAACTGCACAAGGTGTTGAGTTGGTAAAGCCAGGATCGACTATGTTGGCTCCGCTACCAGAAGGTGCGCCAGCTATGGATGCAGCAATCACCTTTCAGGACTGGGTGGAAATTTCGGGGTCAGTGATGTCCGATCTTAGCGAGGGAAGTGCAAGCGGGTGGCAAGGTGTTCTGGGTGCAGTGGAGAGCACTTACTCTAGATGGTTAGCCGCATCGCCATTGGAGAAGCTATCTATTGAGCCACAAGGCGCTGAGCAGTGGTGTACAGGCAAGTGGATCAGGGTGAATGCAAGGGCCTCGTCTATGCTGCTATCGGCTATGTCGACAGATTTACGCGCAGATATGGTGTCAAGAAGGTGCACGCAAGATTGTGTCAAGATGCTCTACAGGTTGTATACGCACTTTCAACCAGGGGGCTCTGCAGAACGACAAGAAGTACTCAAACAGCTGCAGGCGCCCGGCGATTACACCGGAGGAGACGGCTTGGAGAGTGTGCTAAAGGTACTTCGAGCGTGGCCTCGCTGGATGGAGCGCTGCAGAACCATGCAGATGACAGCACCTGACCCATCAGTCCTAGCAAGGGGGCTGCTGAATCTTACCTCCAAGCACATTGACGGGTCGGCAGATGCATGCTTCAGAACTTCTATGCTGAGAACAACGCTACGACTGGATGCTCGACCGTCAACTGACCAGGTGATGGCCTATCAGAGGCACTTGCAGGCGGAGATCGAGGCCATGCTTACGGCCAAGACTGGGTCAGGGCTGGCTGCCCCCAAGTTACGGGCAGTGGACACACCGCTGCAGCCTAAGGCAAAGGATGCTGCGAAACCCCCAAGAGGAGTTGAGTTGTGCAGATACTTTGCCAAGCCATCGGGTTGTAAGCGAGGAGATAAGTGCACATACTCACACAGTATGGCTGGAATGGACAAGGATGTGAGGGCAAAAAAGTGTCTCAGATGCGGTTCCGAAGCTCACAGACAAAAGGACTGTCAGGTGGGAAGGCCGCAACCCAAGGGGGCACGCGATGGGCCTCACAAGCCGCCAGCTGCAGCCACGGGACAATCAGCTCAAAGTACAATGGCTACAGTGGGTACGTCTTCAACCTCGCCTTCGTCTGCAGGGGAGACAATACCGGGCACGGCGTGGACGTTGGAGACCTTGATCCAGGCGGCACAGCAGATAGTTCACCCAACGGAAACAGATGGTCAAGCGAGTGACACCTCACCGGAAAAAACAAGACCACAGCTGAAGGTGTTGAAGCTGAGGGATATTCGGATTTGCTCGGCAGATTCGTCAGCTACAGCTCTGGTGGATAGCGGAGCGACCCACAGCCTTCGGTCAGCCGCGTCCGGAGGAGTGGGACAAGTCGTCGGAGGTGATGGTACAACTAGCGGGAAACTACAAGCTGGTTATGAGGATATCAGATGTGGGAACATTGCTGATGCCTTACAGAGACGTTCAGAGCAATCAGCAGCACCTTCCAGGTCCTCAAGCCCAGACTATAGTACCAATGGGACAGCTGATTGAAACGCTGGGATACACGATGATGTGGAGTCCAAAGGAGTGCTATCTACAATCACCTGAAGGAGTTCGAATACCTTTGCAAGTGGATGGTGGATGTCCTCAGTTAGCGGAAATGGAAGCGCTAGCACTCATTGCTCGGTTAGAAGATCGTAAAGTTGAAGAGCTCAACAATTCTGTCCTGACCACACAGGACAAGTTGAAGGTGTCGGCCGTGGCAATGGAGCACACCTGGGAGTACGACTTGTTCGACTATGTTGCAAAGGGTGCATTTGAGTCGGGGTTACGAGCAGTGAGAGACGCACCGTTCTTCGCAGACCTACCAGGAGAGTGCTTGTCTGGTATGATACCAACTGCAGGGCTTTGGTCTGGCTGGGACACCATGAAGAACCTCGGTTACTTGAACAGAGCGCAGAAAAGGAAGCTGCTGACCTCCAAAAGGTGGATAGTGCACTTGTTCGCTGGAAAGGAGGGACATTATGAGATGTTCAAGTTGGACCAAGGTGATACAGCTGTGATTGAGTTGGACATTGAGCGGTGTCAAGGCCACGATCTGTTCCGGGCGGAAACATGGCGCATGTTGCTATGGGGAGCCAAGGAGGGCAAGATCGATGCAATCTTTGGAGGTCCACCCGGGCGTGCACTTCAAAAAGGAAAGGGTGGACGAAGAGACAATAAGACTTAATGGCTCTGGCTGACGTTCGGGTAGGAGAAGGAGAAGCAGTACCTGAAGCGCCAGACAATGAAGCAGTGTGGGCACCAGGACTTGTTCACGCAGTGGTGGTGGCATTCAGCTTCTGGTACTATGACCCTCGATGTGCGCCTCGGGTGTGTGCTATGACGCCAGAGCAGTGGAAGGAACATGTTCGAACAAATCATGCCATATATAGAAAGGACTGCGTGACATGTGTGATGTCCAAGGGAGTCGGAAGGCAGCACAGACGCATTCGACATCCGGACGCCTATGTGTTAACCGCGGACGTTGCTGGTCCTCTATCTCCAGGATTAGACGCTACATCAAAGGGAACCCTGGGAAAGAATCTCAAGTATCTTCTCGTGGGAAAGTACCTGGTTCCAAAGCAATATATCGAGGACTATTCTGGGCAACCAACCCCCAGTGTGGCAGAAGTACGCGAACTTGATCTACTACCACCGCTAACAGATGAGCAAAAGAAGGACATGGAGGAGTTATTTGGTGAATCTGAGTCTGGGACTGAGCTACCCCTCGAGTGTCCTCAAGTCGAAGTTGTTGGTGACGAAGCAACCCATTTTCAATATGGACCTGAGGACGATGAGATGGGAAGTTATGAACCATCAGAAGCTGCTGACGAAGAGGTGGGTTCCGAAGAAGAGCTTGAAGCCTCCAGGGACACAGTGATGAAAGATGGTGACTGTGAAGCTCCAGAAATGACTCACCTGGTGTTTGCGACAGCTCTTCCAAACAATCAAGCTGCTACAGTCAAGCGCGGAATACAAGACATGGTGCTATACTTACAAAATCATGGATTTCCAGTTTATCGATTTCACGCCGACAAGGGTGAATTCTACAACCATGGGTTCCGAAATTGGCTTCGCGAGCAAGGAGTATATGGAACATGGTCAGAACCAAGTGTACCACAAGGCAATGGTCACGCTGAGTCAACGGTCCGATGGGTCAAGGACAGAATCCGGACGTTAATAAGGGCGTCTGGACTTCCCTTGCGACTATGGCCTACAGCGGCGTCTACGGCAGCAGCGGAACAACGAGCGCGAGTGCTGGGATGGAAAACTCACTTGGCAGCCCCATTTGGAGCTAAAGTACATCTTCGGAAAAAGGCATTCGACAAGGCTGGACCGTTACGAAGAGAGCATGGACTTGAAAGTCGGTGGGTGGAAGGAAGATACGTGGGACTTAGCACGATCATTCATCATGGACATTTGGTGTACATACCAGCAGATGGCGATGACAAGGAGAAGTTTCTGCATACAATGCATGTTCGTCCGGACCTTGTAGATCCAGGAGCACCAGAGGGTGATTTCCGAGTGGATACAGAACCAAAGCCCAGGAGGAGGATCGATAGGAAAATCAGTCCAGACAAGGTTCAGATGCGAGCGACTACGGCTTCCCCGGAAGATGCAGGTACAATAGCTACAACCGGAGCGGAGGAGGTTTTACGGGAATGGTCAAGTGAAAAGGCTATCGAGCTGATTAAGGACCTAGCTCGGTTGGGTTTCTTTGAGAAGAAGAAGTTCGGTGTGTACAGACATGGTGGAACTGTGGGCTGGCTTACAGGACTTGTCGAGTATCCTCAAGTGGCAAAAGTACTTACCAAGTTGGTGGTAGAAATACAGCCAGATGCTACCTTCACCTTAGTTATGGTCTCTCACAATGGTGTGCGGGGAATGCACAAGGACTTCAACAATGATTACAAGACCCAGAACTATGTCATCCCAATCAATCACCCTGAAGCAGGTGGAGAGCTATGGGTCGAGTTGACGGCGGGGGATATTGTTAAGGGTGTGATCGATCGGCGTGAGGTGAATGGCACATCCGTGTACAGTCAACTACTACCTCTACGACAGGATCAGTGCATCTCGTTTGGTCCCAAGAGACGACATGAAGTTAATGCGTGGGAGGGTGACAGAACAGTGCTTATTGCCTGTACACCAAATTGTCTGGGAAAGCTATCACAAGACGATCTTCACGCTCTTCATGACTATGGGTTTCCAGTTCCACTTTCTCAACTACCAGAGTTTTCGGGCAACTTGAGTATTGAAGGCCCGGAGCTGGACATCAAGGAGATGAAGCTGGAATCGCTGACTGAGGAGGAGGACGATGTGGAATGGTCAATGTACCTGGACTTAGAGCCGGGACTGGTGAAGATATTGGATGCAACAGCAAGTCATGAAGGTTGCCCACGGATGCTAAAGACGGAAGTGAGCTATACAGCCAGGATAGAAGAAGTGCTACGTGGACTAAAAGGACCCCTGGATGTTGTGCACACGGTGAATCCTGAAGAAGTGTACGCAAACCTGCAAGAGTGGCGACCGGCAATAGAGAAGGAAATGGCTGGTGTGGAGTTGGCAACTCAACGGTTGCTACCAGGTACAGAGGAGCGGCGTACATGGCTAAATAAGCCGAGGGTGCAGAGGCTACCAATGAAGTTCGTGTTCACCGTGAAACCCAACGATCAGGCGGTTCTGAGCGATCCAAGGTCGTGGTACAAACGCAAGGCTCGGCTCGTTATATGTGGGAACATGGCGTCCAATGAAGGAGGCCAGGTGTACACCGAAACAGCGCCTGCAGGAGCAGTTCGTACAGGACTTACACTGGCTACAAAAAACAGCTGGAGCATAGCAGTCCTGGATGTAGTTGCAGCGTTCATCAAGACACCATTGGGAAGATGCAGCTCAGATCCAGTTGTGGTGGCGCAACCGCCAAGGCTACTGGAAACGCTTGGCTTGGCTGAGCGTATGGAGCTGTGGGGACTCATACGTGCACTATATGGACTACGAGAGGCCCCTATGCTGTGGGGAAATTTTCGTGATGACACGTTACGTGCACTTGATCCTCCAAGGGGTTTGAAGTGGCTATCACCTCGTGGTGGACATTGAAGAACGCAGAGGGCAAGGTTGAGTCCCTAATGCTGGTTTACGTCGATGACTTTATGCTGTTTGGTCCGAGGATACTGGTCCAGGAAATCGGGGCTCTTATCAAGAAAGTGTGGGAGACGTCAGAGCTGAGCTTCCTGGGAGAGGGGGATCCAATCCGGTTTCTGGGTATGGAGCCTCAAAGGGAATCTGAGCAATCTCCTGTCATCAAGGTGCTACAACATGGATACATCACAGAGCTACTACGTCTTCATGAAGTGGAGTTGTGCAGAAGGGACAAGGTACCAATCACCAAAGAGCTACAAGTTCTGCCAGAGGATGTGGGAGATTGTGGTGCGGCGTGCGCAGCAAATTACAGGTGAAGTCTTATGGGTGTCGCAGCGGACGAGACCGGATTTGGCATTTACAACAAGTATTATGACAGCACTATGCGTTCGGTGTCCGTCTCGCGTAATCCAGATCGGAGATACAGTCCTGGGGTATTTGCAACGTACTTCAACCTATGGGCTCACAGTGTCCTGGAGCGGAACAGGGCTTACTATGTTCTGTGATGAAGCATTTGCACCACAAGGAGAGAGGTCCCATGGTGGTTGGGTCGTAGTATACGGTGGAGTGCAAATAGTGTGGCGCAGCGGCCGTCAGCAAATGGTCACATTATCGACAGCTGAATCAGAGCTGATTTCCATAGTGGATGGTGCAATAGCGTTAAAGGGGGTGGAAGCAATCCTAGCAGATGTGGGGGAGTTCGTCGAGGTTCGGGAGATTGCGTCCGACTCTACAGCAGCCTTGAGCATAACTGCGGGATCCTCATCCTGGAGAACACGCCATCTAAAAATAAAGGCAAGCTGGCTTCTTGAACAGATTCGACATGGTCTATTCACAACAGTTCATTGCCCAGGTGTTCGACAACCAGCAGATCTTCTAACAAAGGCCCTTAGTCAAGCGAGGACAGCGGCACTCTTACAGCTATGGAACATTGAGGAGGAGCCAAAGCACATGGTTTCTAAGTCTTCGTTGGCAAGGGTCTCAGCGAGAATGCTGGTGGCACTGGTGTGCTGCTTGATGATGACTACCGTAAAGGCATCTGAGACAGGGAGTTCCAGTACAAGTAGGTCCCCCGGGTCGGGAGTACAGGTGGACTGGGATACGGCAGGTTTGCTGATGATATTGCTTATGGTCCTGGGTGTTCTCCTGATCTATGAGTCGGTGAAGTGGTTTCTAGCAGAGCTTTGTAATGAGTGGACACCAGGTGCAAGTGCACGAAAACTGCGAAGGCTGAAGAAGCTACAGGCCGCAACGACGGCGGCGATTGAAAGAGAGTTGGAGCGCATGCAGACCCAACCTGATAATGGGGATGTACAGTCATCTTCGTCGGAGTCAGGCAGAAGGGCTCCGAGACCAACTATGAGCAGTGACGCAGTGAGGGATGCACGAGGTCAGTCATCTACAGCAATGCCAAGGAGAAGGCCGCCAACACCGCCCATACCTACACAGGATGCTACGAGTTCCAGGTCAGAGCTAAGATCTACTAGAGGCCGGGCACCGAGTCCGGTCCAAGCACCACAAAGGGAGCCTAGAACGCCAAGCCCGTTCCAAGCTACAAGAGCACAAGCATCATCGCCTACATGGTCACCTCCAATCAATTATGTACCTGGTGTTGATGAGCAGGCACGTGTTTGTGTTGATGTATGTATGCTGATGACGGGAGAAGGTCTACGTGAAGGGCTGCTGTCAGAGGGGTTTCCAACTTCAGGACTAAAGGAAGACAAAGCAAGGCGGCTTGGCCACAGACTGTCAAGCCTAATGAGTCGTGAAACTGGACCCACAGTGAAGCAGTTAAAGTATGTTCTATGGCTTTGGAGAGTGAAGGATTTGTCAGGGAGACATATTCTCCGATATTGCGAGATCAATGATCGCATGCGAGTTTCTGCTCTAATCCATCGATGGAAGGGAGCCGACCAGTCCACCGGCTGACGCATGGACTGAGGAGGAGTGTGAAAATACACGCATGCCGATCGTCACCGGTTCAAGGGAATGGCTACGTAAAACCCCTTGTGCCATGTATAGCGACTACCAGTGCAGCTCCCATTATTGTACAACTAGGTTGAGCAAAGCACAGGTTTTTGGTCGAAGTCAAGACAACATGCTTTCGTAAAAAAAGAGTGATCCGCAGTGCGCGCCGGTAGACATGGACTTTCCAGTGCTGGCATAAGACGTGCTGTGTGGGCTTGAGATTTCAAGCATGTACAAAACGCTTAATCCATGACACTATCGCTTTGATCACGTAAGCCTTTCTCAGGCACGAACACCATCAGAGGCCATCCGGAGGAAGTGTCAGTGGCCGTGAGGACTATGGCTGCACGGCTTTCTTCTTCTACTAGTTGGCCCTCGCGGCTGAAAAATTCATAATCGAGGCACCTCAGCATCTGCGTTCTTGATTTGCCGATTGTGTCCAGACTCGGCCGCCTTGCCAGTAATGCAATGGCGGCACCATGGTGCGAAATCAGCATGGGTGAGGTTGTGCAATGCTCGCTCGTCGTCCGTGGGCGCAGCGGGTGCAGGAAGATGACGTGGTTGAGGTGACTCCGGTTGGCCATCCAAGTCAACGTCGATGTCGACGCTGCCATCCTCCGGAGCCGATTCTTCGGCGGGAGCGGCAGAGCAGACACATCATCTTCGTGGCGCTGTGCTGCAACGAACGCTGGCGGCGCAGCACCGCTTGTTCGATCCTCAAACGGCATGTAGAACAGGGACCCAAACCGGGGCAGGACGATGGTGTGGTCGTCTGGTGTTTGGATGTGCGCCGGCTTGCCGGAGGATGAACGGTAGAAGTGCATGTCGCAATCGGCGTCATCCAAGATGCGGCAGAAAGCCATCACCGGTTCGGTGATGTCTGTGGAGTCCAAACGAAACCTTGCAGGCATTTTGACGTCCACTCCGTCGGCTGTTGTTGCTGAGAGGGTGGTGTGAGCTGCAAGCTCGCCCTGCTGTTGTATTGGCGTTCCGTTGACGGCCCACAGCTGCTTGCGTTTTGATGCGTCGAGTGCGGCACTGGGAAAATGCTTTGCACTAGCACAACTGGTGGTGGCGCTTGAGTCAACCAAAATGTACTTCTGTCCTCCGTCACCCTGCATTGTGGAACAAACGGCTTCGGCAACCTCAGCCTCAGCGACGGCAAACAGCATCGGCTGTTCTTTTTGTGAAATGGCGCCTTGGGTCGATTGGCTTCTGCGGCCGACGATGGCAGACGACGTGGACGAAGCACTCACTGAGGATGCGCCGGTGAGCCGAAGTGCTTCAAGTTGCTGCTGCAATGCTGCAATCGTGCTGGTCAGCTCGCCGTTGTCAGGAACTGTTCCGTCGACCGCATTCACGTTCGTCGAACTTGATGTCGACGTGCGTTTGCCCTTGCCGTCTCCTTTCGGAAAGCTGCGGGCATTGAAGTAACACGCTTCAGTGGTGTGGTTCGGGGCCACAAATTGCACACGGAGGTCCTTTTGTGGCGTTGGCATTGCCGGCATCGGCCTTGCCCTTATCCTTACCTTTACCGTCACCTTTGCTGCTTGCAGCCTTAGAACCTTTGCCAGGCTTGCCCTTTCTATCACCCTTACCACCTTTATCACCTTTTGGTTTTGACTTGTTGTCCGCTTCCACCGCTCCAATCTCCATGGGTGCTGGCCCGGCCCAGAGTATGGAGCTGCGGGTGACGCAGACTGTGTGCCGAAGGCAGTACCGGCACCACGCTTCCAAAGGTTCTTGGACTTCAGGTATTGCACAATGAACTCACGGAGCGTCTTATAGGTGGTAAGGTGAGCGGAATGCATCGCAATCTGAGGGGCAAGAGTCTTGGGGGCGACTTCGGACAGAATCGCGAGCTTCAGATCTGCATCAACTGTTTTCTTGTACTCACGTTCGTATTTGGCAATTTCACCTTCCCATTCTTCAAGGCCTCGTTGCCACTGCGATTCTTTGTTCGGAAAGGCGGGGTTGGAAAGTGCCCGGAGCCACGCATAAGGCATAAGGTTTATGCTTGTTTTCCGGCTCGAAACGGGCATGCATGCGGCGCCATAGCTCAAACCCATTCCTATCCGGTACAAGCATCGCCATGGCTGGGATTTCGCCGGACTGGCACAAACCTACCAAAATGGCAAACAGGTCTGTGCACAACACTTTCGCAACTGGAATCATTTCTGCCGGATTGATCTCGTCTGTTTGCGCAGCGGCAAATTTGAGAAGGTCGGGGTACTCAGGATCAACAGTGCCGATCCACGATGTGAAACCGAATTTGAATCGCTCCCAATCAGAATCACTGCCGGTGAACGATTCTGGTGCCTTGACCAACTTGGGATTCAGTGGCCTGCGTTTGGGTTCCGCAGACGTTGTTGACTGCGTCGTGGCTGTCAACTGGGACACAGCCGACTGCGCCACTGTTAGAGCGGCGTTGGTCGCCTGGGCCTGCTGTTCTAGTGCAGTTCGCGTGTTGTTCAGCTCCTGCTGCTGTGACATGAGCTGTGCTGTCAGCTGCTGCACTTGACTAGCTAGTGATTGGTTTTGTTGTTCAGTGTTCGCCATTGTGCCGCTTGGTTGGGCAAGGCAAACAACACGGGAAAATGGTCCTATTATGACCTAACCCCTACCGTAACCGAAACTGCAAGGGCTCAAACATTTCAGGGTGTATCTCAGCAGCACGTTCGCCGGAGACACTCTGTTTGTGGGAATGCTCAATGGCTTTGAAACCAGAGCCTTTCCTTCAAACGCTCGAGGACGATTCGTCCGAGGATGTGCAATGCACGGTGCACTCAGGCGACGGTTCGCGGGAACAGCTTGCACTTTATTCGGCTTCTTGGTCGGAGTACTCGCTGCGATTTGCAACGACGGCTGAATCTGACCGAATCTGCTGCTTGACCTGGTGCAGACGT